CTATACGCATTACGCATACGTCACGTTTGCCCATGCATGCGGCGGGGCTGGCAGGCAGATGGACGGACAACTAACGTCAAATTGTTGGCATATTTTGCGCTGTATTTAGCAGCTTACCATGGCATATTAATTAACTTTTATGAGAGTGGAACCCACACACACACACTCACTCACACGCACTGTTAGCAAGGACGCTGCGTATGTGTAATATTTCATTTAGGACCGTGGCGGCAGCCCACTTTTCTGTGCTCCTTTGGGTCTGCAAGATTTATTGCCTGCTTCAAAGATAAAGTCATTATTGCGGCATTATAAAAGATGGCAAGCGGCTCCCCGCAGCGCTTAGCGATATGAATCTTTGATGCATGTAATTGCCATCTCGACCCTTATACGATCTTTCTCATTGATTTGCCGCTGTGGTTGCACAGCCGGCGTTTTGCTTCTGCAGTTATGGTAATTTTTGGCCACTGTTTTATCGCTTGTCTTGGGCTAATTAAAATTTCATTAGGCCGCTAACGCGACGCATTGCGACAGCCATCAGCTGTCAGTGGCTGCCTCAGCCGCTTTGGCTTTAACATGTTGGTAAACAAGTACACTGCAAATTAATTATGCATGCAAGCGCAAATTGACAGCTGCCACACCCACCAAGGCCTCATCAAGCTAAGCACAATCAATAGCCTGCACGGGCAACACGTGTAAAGCGAGCGAGCTTAATTCGTAACTCGATACGCCCCAGCAAATGTTTGACCCCAAAATAATACAAAAAAAACTTAAGCCCTTCGCTCTGTGCACTCGATGGCGGCCATTTGGCAGGCATTCAAGAAGAAACAGCAGCCATGGCCGCTGCATGGCGTCTATACAGCGAGACAAAATGGCCGACAAAATGGCGACAGCGTGGCTGAAGGTGCGCTTTAAAGCCATTTGGCAGGCCCTTAAAGAGATTAACAGCCGCAAATGGCAATCGACACGCGATAACTTCATTTCAGCCAATGTCCAAAGTCAAAAGCAAATTTATTTGAGCTAATTAGACAGTTTCTGACTCATTCGGGTTATCGGACTCACTATTAAGATGCTGTGAGCCTTCGTAGTCTCGCCAATTCAGGCAGCGCATTCACCGTTCGGTGAGTGTCGAAAAAAAATCACGTTTGACTTCTTGCCTTCTGTTGCGCTCTTTGATTGAATTTCCTGGCTGCGGTAGATGCGGCAGTTGTGGCAGATGTTGCATACACTCGTATGTTGCCAGTTCGTGGCATGAAGTTTATTGAAATCGATCGACTTCCGCTTGGAGTGTTTGCTTGTTGTTGTTGGTGTTGCTCGTGTGATGTGCAGCCGATATTTGCATATAAGTAAAATGCGCCAGCGAATGCCTCAGATTTATGTTAATTTATTGAATTTCATTTGATTCGCACTGCCCTTTTTGCAATGTGCTGAAATCCTGCGTTGCAAATGCGAGTGCGAGAGCAAATTCAATCAAGTTTATGCATAAATTACCAGACAGCAAGTAAGCAACAGAAAAAAGGTAAATTTCAGGCCAAGGCGCATCGAAGTAACAACAAAGCTACAACAACAACTTGTTTCTTCCTCACTTTATCTTTATAATGGCAAAAGTTTCAAGTTGAAAGCCTTGGTCCTTTTTTTTTTGTCTACCTTTCCTGCATATTTATGTGAAGCGAGCTTTTTGCTGCCCTTCTTGGCTGGCCCTCGGGGCAGGTCGTTCAAATGAAGCTGCTGTTCATTATGTAATTGTGTTGCGTACAGGTTAAAGACCCAGCATGCAGCGCTTTTTGCGGCTGTCATTTGAATAATTGATATGCTAATTTAATTATTGTTCAATTTGCACAGTTTATTGTAGCTCAACCGAAATGATAACTGAAAACTAAAGGGTTGACCCCTCAGCCACGGCTCGCTTTCAGGCAGTTTTGTAGACGATCCAGCTCCATCTGCTGCATATAGTCAACGATTGTGGTGCAGAGCACCACTCGCAGCAGCATTTTGCAGCCGCTTGCAATGCCAGAAAATGTTATCACGGCGGCATTCGCTTTTGGTTTCCAGGCCAGAAAACTGATGGAATGCGGGCGATAATCTACCAAAGGCACGCGTGTACTAAGCTGCAATGGAGATAAGTTTATTTGTAAATATTTTATGAAATTTAAGCCCACCAAGAAACTGATGATATCCTTGCAATGTCTGCTTTCTTTGAATGCTCTAGGAGCTACTTCCTTGCTGCTTGGCAGCTCCAGGTTCCAGATGTTGTTCATTAGTTTCTTCTGCTCCCGTTGCTGCAGCTTTGCTGCACAGAGCAGTGGCAACAGCATGGTCACTGGCCAGGCCAGCTCCGAAGCTGCGAAGGACACCAGCTGGTCACGCGTGGGGGCCGGTGCTTCCATGCCCAGCCACTCGGCTTCATCCTCGAGATCGTCACGATTCTTATGACGCTGCAAGATCACGTTCTCGTCGTAGCTGAATTCACTGACATAATTACCACATTTTACACAAAGTAAGAAGAAGAGCCAACAGAAAGTTAATCGGAAGTAGTATGCAGCCAAGTGTTGAATGCGCTTGAGCAGAGGCTGCACATGCAGGACTTGACGCAGCAGGTTGAACTCATTTGACAGCTGAAGCTGCTTGAGCAGCTGATTTAATGATTGCAGCATTGCAGTATGCAATAAATGCTGAAAGAGCTGTACAGAAAGCAGAAGCACCAACAGCAAAGGCACTGCGCCCATCACATAGCTGATGATATTTGCATCCCATTGCTGCGGAAAGTCCAGCCAGACCAGCTTGAAGCCCAGCAACACCAGCAGCAATAACTGCAAAATACCCAGCAGCAAGAGCAGCCAGGAGCACCTGAGCACCAGACGGTCATGCAGCACAGAATGCAGATGCTTGTAGGCCAATTGAGATTGATCTACCATATACCAGAGCTGTAGCCTGCCACACAAACACGTAATTAACATCCACACATTGGCTATGTTCTGAAAGAAAAGAGTTAAAAAATCCACAACGTCCAATTCCGGCCGTGTATTGGGTGCAATCTCGTTGTGGCTAGCATTGCTGCTCTCCGTATCGCAGCGCAACATGAGCTGCACAAGGTTAAGCAAAATCAGCAGCCAGCACGGCACATATGCTAAAAAAGAGCTACAGCAGCCAAAACTCAGACGGTAACGCTCATGAGCTCTATCGAAGCGTAACTTCAAAAGGCCGGCACCATTCAGAATCAAACACTGCAACTTAAGCAGACAATAAAGCAACTTGAAGCGCCACATGCTGTTGGTAAACTGAAGCGAAATTAGCAGAAGCCATATTCATTTATTGTGCTCAGTTGATTGATGGCCCACTCAAAGTCATCAAGGAAGTGCCAGCAGTAGAGCTGGCTAATTGCCTGGGTCCCATCAATATCGAAATGGCTTTTCATATAGCTGTTCTAGTAGTTGAAGTGAGAATAGATACAAGGGGTAGCGCCAAGCTGCCCCCTCGAATTTAGCTGTGCAGCATGCAGCCCCTTTTCGTATATCTCATTTTAAAAATTTATTTTAGCTTGATTATTGTACAATTTGCATAGTTTATTGAAGCTAAGCTCAAATGATTACTGCTAACTTCTGGCTTAGCTGCGGATTGTTCTTAGGCTACTTTGTAGACGATCCAGCTCCATCTGCTGCACATAGTCAACGATTGTGGTGCAGAGCACCACTTGCAACAGTATTTTGCAGCCGCTTGTGATGCCAGCAAATGTAATAACAGCGGCATTCTTTTTTGTTTTCCAGGCCAGAAAACTGATGGAACGTGGGCGATAATCTACCAAAGGAATCCGTGTGCTGAGCTGAAATATAGAGGAGTTGAGTTTATTTAGAAAATATACTTATATCTGACGGAATTTAAGCCCACCAAGAAACTGATAATGTCCTTGTAATGTCTGTTTTCTTTGAATGCTCTAGGAGCTACTTCCTGATTGCTGCTTGGCAGCTCCAGGTTCCAGATGTTGTTCATTAGTTTCTTCTGCTCTCGCTGCTGCAGCTTTGCTGCACAGAGCAGTGGCAACAGCATGGCCACTGGCAAGGCTAGCTCCGAAGTTGCGAAGAACAACAACTGGTCACGCGTAAGTGGGTTTATTTCTATACTCAGCCGCTCCGTTGTATTCTCGAGATCTTGAGGACTTGTGCATTCTCTTACATAAGCCCCAGACTTGAGACAAAGTTGGAAGAAGAGCCAACAGAAAGTTGATCGGAAGTAGTAGGCAGCCAAGTGTTGAATGCGCTTGAGCAGAGGCTGCGCATGCAGGACTTGACGCAGCAGGCTGAGCTCATTTGGCAGCTGTAGCTGCTTGAGCAGCTGATTTAATGACTGCAGCATTGCAGTATGCAACAAATGCTGAAAGAGCTGTAGTGACAGCAGCAGCATCAAAAGCAAATGCACTGCGCCCATTACAAAGTTGCTATCATAAAGAAATTCCAGCAAGATCACCCTTAAGCTTAGCAGCAGAAAGAGGAATAGCTGTAAGATTCCCAGCAGCAAGAGCAGCCAGGAGGACTCGAGCACCAACCGCTTACGTAGTACAGAATGCAGATGCTTGTAGACTAATTGAGCTTGGTTTATCATATACCAGAGCTGTAGTCTGCTATTCAGATGCATGATTACTATCCACACGTAGGCCAGGTTCTGAGCAAACTGGCTAAAAAAGCCCATCGCCTTAAGTTCTGGTCGCGCAGCGGGGACAATATCGTCGGAGATCTCCTCGTCGTAGCGCAAAGTGAACTGCACAAAGTTAAGAAAAATCAGCAGCCAGCACGGCAAATATGTGAAAATAGAGTCACAGGAGCCACATCTCAGACGATAACGCTGATGAGCCCTATCGAAGCGTAACTTCAGAAGACCAGCACCATCCAGAATCAAGAACTGCAACTTAAGCAGAGAATAAAGCAAGTTGAAGCGCCACATGCTGATAGAAAACTGAAGTGAAGGTAATAGAAGCCATATTCATTTATTGCGCTCTGTTGATTGATGGCTCACTCAAATTCATCAAGGGAATACCTGCGATATATCTGGCTAATTGCATGGGTAACATTTATATCGAAATTGCGTTTCGTATAGCCGTTGTAGAAGTTAATTTGCATTTCTGCGTGCTGGGCTGAGTATAGATAGAGGGAGAGTAGAAATACGTAGCCCCCTCGGATAGAGATGTTCAGCAGCATGGGCAGCGTCAATTGTAGGTGTTCAGAGCTGAGGCCCAGGATGGCCACAAGCAGGGGCTGGCGACGCAGCTCAGTCACCGGCAAATTGCTGAAAAACTGTGAAAAACATTTGATTAGGCCAAGAGGTAGACAGATAAAGGCAGCAACTGACCAACATGCTGATGACGTCTCGTTTGTGCTGTGGCTTGACGCAGAGTCGTTGTATGGGCAGGCCGAAGGGCATGGGCAGGGTCTGTTGGCGCAGCAGGCACCAGGACCTCAATTTGAAGTACTCCAAGCGATCTTCCAACTGCAAATAGTTGTCATAGAACTTCCAGTGCTGGTCCTGCACATCGTACGAGCAGAGCATCAGCGTCACAAAAGTCAGCAGCAACAGCAACAGATGAGACAGGCGCGTGCGATCCACATTCAGCTGGTCGGAGGATTGCCAGTCCAGGAGCAGCTGACCGAAGCGAATCGCAATGAAGCCCACAAAACTAAGCAGATGCAAAGCAAAGTAGCGTATGATGCTCCAATGCAGACACCAAATACCCAGCTGCTCTCCCAGTATAGTGCGCAGGGTGGCTAGGCGAGAGCTCTTCATGTGCTGCTGAAGAAACACATTCAGCGCGCGATAGATGCTGGCCAGCCAGATGAGGTAGTTGCCCAGAAAGAGCAGATGCATGTAGTAGATGAGAGCGGCACCGGCTATGAAGCACGCCTGATAGCTGTAGTACATATGGAACTGCCAGAAGAACAGGGCCAGCAGCTCGGCGGACAGCATCAATGTGAGAGCACATTCTCGCCAGAGCGGCACACACATCCAGTTGCCCAGCGCGCGTTGCAGCGTGGCGTGTATTTGGGTGCAAGCATTCAGGAGCTTGGTGAGATGCTGGCGCAGCCGCAGAAAGTAGATGTAGAGCGGAACGAAGAGCAGGAACAGCAGCTCATCGTAAGCCCAGCCCTGGCTGAGCCACAGATAGCCCAATGAGCCAATCATATTTAGCACGGTCATCATCTGCGCATAGAAGAGTTCGCCCCACACGAAGTGCGCGCTCTCCGTGTAGCTCACATTGTAGAAGCCCAGATAGATGCCCAGGCGTCCGATGATACGCCACACGCAGAGTATGTGGCACAGGCAGAAGCCTTTGACCGTCGTATGCGTTCGCATCGCTGCCAGCCGCTTGCCACACTGAGTGCCACAAACACAAACAAAAACACAAAACAGAAAGGAAATTTGTCGCTGCATGTTAATTAGCTTTTACAGTGAATGATAAGTGCGACATTTATTCTCGCTGCGAGAAGTGCGAGAACGAGCCCTTGAACCATAACGACAAGCAATATTTCATGCTCTGTTTATATTGTGGCACGGCGACCTTTAATATTTTACACTCTGATGTGGGGTCATGAAATCGAAAGAGCACTTAAAATAGCATAAAGTTAAAATGGAAACTGAAAGCTCTCTATAAGAGTAGCAAAGTTGATGCCACTACACGGGCCACTTTTTAATTCATATGTATCTTGGGCAGCATTTAAGGGCACGAACCCAGCGGCACCGATGATTTAAGAGCCATGTAAGCAGCCGTACCGAACATGTGCCTCATGCGCCTCATGTGCCTCGTATCGCTGTGTAAGTGTGCGATAAAAGCCGCCCATAACAATGACAAAAAACTGCATGTTTTTATTACAAATTGCAATTGTGAAAATTTTATACATGGCCGCAGCCACATTGCCATCGTCGCATCGTGTCACATTCCACAGCCTGCACCTGCAGCAGCAAATCCAGAACAGAAAAAAATGGATAGAAATGGGACGCACGGCACGGGCTGTGATAGTGTCGCCACAAATAAACTTCCGCACAAAAATTGGGCTGCATTTCCGGTGGGCCGCCTCGACAGTTTTTATTGCTGCTTTTTGCTGCGTGCCGCAAATGAATTTATTTCTTCTTTTTCCACCCTTTTAAATTTCTTTTTCAATTTAAATTGTCCGACGGCGGGCAACTAACAAAAAAACGAAAAGAAAAAAGAACTCGGCATAGCAAAGCTTTCTTTTAGTCGATTTCGGCTGCTATAAATTTGTGCATGTTTTCATTAGTTGTCAGCGCTGCTTTTGATGATTTATGCATGTTTTTTGCATCCATCCACTTTGCACTCGGCGGTGGCAGAAACAGAAAAAAATATCTATTAAATATTTAGTTGATATTGCAAATGTTTTTAGCCCATGCAAATGACTACAGCGGCCATAGGTCAAGAGACATAAAATATGTAGTTCATATGAATATACTTTTAATGGAGAAATTTTAATGCATTTTCAAGTTATATATTAAGTGTATTCTATAGATTAATGATATACATATTCAAGTTAAACATAAATAAATTTCGCATTTATCAGCTAATGTAACTCGGCTTAATCATGCTGCATCTTAAGAAATTATATAATTCCTAGCTCTTACATTCTTGAGCTATAATAAGAATATAATTTTGTCAAATTTTAATTGATTAAGAAGACCTAAGTCGAGTATGAGCTCCGTCGTCTGATACAACAATACAACAATAACATTAAGTAAGCTTTATTACATCATATAATTAAAATACCTTTATAATACATTAAAATATTTAATCTTATTATAATTGTAGAGGCCTCATGTAGCACATGCCCACACGTTCCAAGCGCCACAGAAAATATAGCCAAGACAGCAGCCGCTAGTCTGCTTTACCCACCAGCTGCTCTGGCATCGAGGATACAGACTGCTTCTCGAGCTGCTAACGATGTGGCTGATGGTAATGCTGATATGTACGGCCTTTTGAGTACGCTGTTTGTGCTGCCGCAGCTTCAGTTACGGCTTTTGCTACTGCTGCTCCGGTTGCTGCTGCTGCTGCTGCTGTTAACACTGATGGCTCTAATGATTGTTTGTCAAACATGCTGGTTGCTGTAGGAGTTGCCGCCGTCCCTTGGCTACTGCTCTGTGTGCGCCCAGGGCTTCTTATTGAATTCCAGCGGCGCCTGGCTTGTCCTTTTGCCGACATGCACAGGATTTTAAAATGCCACATAAAGGCGCACCAAGCGCTGCGACATGAATTCCAAGTTGAAATGACAAAGCAAACGCCGAGAAAAATGGCAGCGAAGAGCCAGCCGAAAAGTATAGAGAGTGGGCAGAGAAGATGTAAAAGAAGATGTAAAAGCAAGTGAGCCGCTTAAGGCTGACATTTTTGGGTTATGCTGCGATGAACCAATGAACATGCCAAAATACTCACGTGCCTGGGCATGCAAATCCTCTAATGGCTGGCGATGTGGGAGTTGGCGCCGGCACCGATTGAGAGTTAGACTTGAACGAATTAATCGTTCAACCTAGCCTGGACGAGACGGGCGGCCAACTTTGACCTGGCAACTCCCAGTTTGAAAATAAATTAGTTTGCCGCGTGGGCGATTGGCGACGCAAATCTGAAGTGGGTCTGACAGCGGTTCCACGCAGGGAGGTAAGTTGGATAGCTGGGATGTGTTACCAATAATTTACTGGAATTAGAAGCATTCGAATTTTTAAATATTTAAGCTTGTGGAAACCTATCGATTTTGGTAGCTGGTGGCAAGTGGAATGTGGCATGAGGCATGTGGCATGCGGTGCATATTGCGCCTGCTCGAATGGCGCTAATTGAAGTGGTTGCCTCCTCAATGTGTGCAGCCATCAATTACTCGCACTTCACAAATGCTTTTTCGTGCTATTTCGCGTTAAAAGCATTTACACAGTCCGTCATCACATTAGCGCCCAAGCGCTCCAGTAAATTGTTATTGTTTTATGTGTACCCTAACCAAGCGGAAAGGGTACTTGAGCCATGTCGAAGTGGTTGGCACGTGTAATTACGAGGGGTAGCTGCAGGGCTAGCCTCTTCTACTTATCCAGCTCAGCACTCTCCAGCACTTTTATATCCACTTGAATGCGCTTTCCCATCATCAACGTTACTGACGCTCTATTTTCTATTCCTATCTGCTCTTTCTTATCTCTCTGCCTCTGTCTTGTTGTAGCTTCTATGTTGCACAATTCTAGGCTGACCATTTCGCTTTACAGAAATAAAGCTGACATCAATAAGTGCTGAGAATGTCTCTAGAGTAAAGTGTATTTGAGTTTCCATCTGCTGTTGGTTAGCTCCATGCACCATTTGTTCTACTGTTTCGTGTTTTTGCTGTTGCCGAGCACCTGGCCCGGCTGTCCAGTTGCTGACATGTCGCAGCACTCGCCGCTTTGTTGCTGCCGCCTTTTCGGCTACTTTGGTGCCCAAAAAGTTGTTAGCGAGCTGTTTGCTTTGAGCAACATCTATTACAATGAGGTCACGAAAAGATTTGAACTGGCCCAGCAAACACTTATCTACTGGATGTTTGTGCTCAATCTATTCGCGTGGATTTCCGTGGTTTACTCAGCCGGACCTGATTGCCAAATTGATGGATACCTTCACTTGCTATACGCCGCGCCCTGCGTTCTCTATATGTGCAAGCGACCATGGCTGCTAGAAGAACTCAATGCAATGGTTGGCGTGCAGCGGCAGCTGGCGGACTGGCTCTGCTTTCGGGTGGTGCGCGTTTATTGCTGGTCTCTGCTCATGACCGTGCAGCTGGGGTGGACAATCTACTGGCAGCTACAGCTCTATGATTACCGAAGGCTGCTTTGTGTGGCCTTCTGTGTGCTCTGCTGTTATCTGCAGCTGCTGCTGCACTTCAATTGCTTCATTTGGCTATACAGCAGCTATTTGGCCATAAATCGAATGCTCGCAGCTTCCTTGAGCAAGCGGCAACGCGTCAAGTTGCTGCACAGAGTGCTCGCAATGCAGCCAGCGCTGCACAAGATACAGCGACACATGACGCATTACTTCAGCGTTTATTTGTTATCACTCTGGGTGCTGATGCTGCGCAAGTTGCATTTGGCTGCCAGACAGCAGTTGGAGCTGCAGCAAGGCGTCGTCATCGTTCACTTGCAACTGCAGCAGCTCACATACGCAGCAAATCTCTTAAGCCTGATCATTATTTTGATGTTGGCTGGGCGAGATTTTCGCAATGAGCGCACAAAATTCGAGTCGAGCCTGTGGCGCGCGCTGCAGCAGCAGCAGCCACAACTTTCCTTGCCACAGCAGCGCAGACAATGTTTGGATGTGGTAGATCTAATGGTAAGCGCTGGGGTTATTGCTGCCATTAACAAAACTTTTAATTCATTCCCATCCCTTACAGCTCTGCACTGGCAATCGACCAGATCAGCTGCGTAACAAGCGGACGCTGCTCTGCCAGCTGCCCGGCTGCCCAGTGACTGCCACAGCACTGGGGCAACTGCTTTGCTGGCTGCTGCTAAGCCTGCCCCTAATGCTAATACTCTTTAAAGAGCAATGCACAATAAGCTGGGACCTTAATGTTAGCAACTGGCACAGAAATTTGACCAGCTATAAGCTGCCTGGTTGGAAACCTGATGATACCAGCTATCCAAGCCTTGATACCAGAAATTTAAGCTGGTGGTTCAATTGAAGCGTCTTTAAAGTGGGTGCAAGTTTATAAAATTAATGTTTGTGCATAAGCATTAAATAAATAAGTGAGCAATAGCAACTGAAGTTTGACAGAGTGCTTTCTGCTTAAAAATTAATCCATAAAGTAGAACGAGTGCAGCTGAAAAATCAACTAAATCAAACTCAAACTCAACTCACTCTCTCTCTCTCTCTCACACACACAGATTTACACATACAGCGGAAGCTAAGAGTTATATGAGGCTGATGGAAATCTATTAAGTCTCTTTATGGCTGAGTTATGAGAGCTGCCAACCTAATTAGCTGCTGTCCCATAGGCTATAGCCGTGCAACATGGCGTATGATTAACACGACTAATGAACGCCTTCCGCGCTCAGCTGTAAATGATTGAATTAAAACTCAGTTGTCCCCCACTCTGACTAGGCATAATCAATTCAATTATGCCCAAGCTAAATACGAAAAAATTAGAAAAAAACAGAGTTCAGTTCATTGGGCATGGGTTAAACTTTTTGCTAGCTTGAGCTCTCATCTTTGGATTCATTCGAAACTATTTGCCTGCAACTTGTGCAGTTGACTGGAAAATAATGTCGATTAGCTGCATTAGGGGATGCGGTGCTGACACGCCCACTTACTGATAAGCCACGCCCAGCGTAAACTCCGAGCATAATTGGATATGGAATATGCTGTACCAGTTGTAGGCGTGGCCTGGTCTCACTGCTTGTAATTTGACAAAATTTGCCAAAAAGCAAAAGCATTTAGTATTTAACACTCTACAACATTCAGTTGTCAACACAATGGCAGCCATGCCAGAGTATGTGGAGGGGGCTGAGCGCAAAGTGCGAAGAGTTTTACGTATTGCAATTTGTGCAAAATGCAAATTTCCTCACTGATGACAGCGGCAATTTTGTGCACCATTGTTGTAACAGGGTATGTTTGTTGCTGTTGCTGCTGTTGTTTGTATACATCCATTGTTTGGTCATACAAACAGACAGTGCTGTGCAGTTGAGTGTGGCCATACAGTAAAAGGCTTGAGCATAAACAATGTTTACTGTAAGAGGAGTTTTCTATGGAGCCGGACAATAAACAACTGTCTGTGGGGAACTGTTTCTATGCATATGCACAGTGCTGTGACAGAAAGTCTGGCACGCAACAATAAACACAACCGGAGCTGCAAAGCAGCAGCCGAGCCACACAGACTTTTCCACGCTGCCATGACACCATCTCTCTCCCTCTCTCTCACACTCTATCTCGCTTTCGCTTTGATTAACAATGATGTGCATTATTTTTGCAAATAAACTTGGCCAAGCCACATGAGCTAGCGAAGGCAGTGAACAACTTTCTGCCTGCTGTTGTTGTTTGCCATTTTGTATGCTGGGCAATTTGGCTCAAGTTGCATTTATTGATTTATTACAATGACAGCTTACAGCTTCAATCATTGTCAGCAGCAAGAATTTCCGAAACACACACACACTAAGCACATACCTCATGGTTGTCATAATTGCGCATTTGGGTGCAAGGTCTTGGCGACGACTACTCGTCCTCGCATTCAGATTCACATTCCCCACAGTCCCACACACACACACACACGAAGGCAAATGGCAAACGGAAGCTTTTAAGCAAACAGGATATGCTGTGAGCAGCTTTGGCTGGGTGGGGCTAGAAGGTGGCACACAGGATCTAGCTAGAACAATAGTACGAGCAGTTGCAAGTCCGGCTTGGAGGCAGCTCTGCCAGCCGAAATGAAAACAAAACATTTGTTATGCAAAGCCTTTGATGTTGTCCTTGGGCGCACTGAGTGCAGGATGCAGCCAACAACTTGTCAATGACAAAATCAGCTTCCCATTAAACAGGCGAAAGAAAAACATTTTCCCTTTTCCATACTTCGAATGTTGTTAAAGTTATTCGCTTTGAGCCGTTGCCAAATGGGTCAACAGCGATTGTGTAGCAGTAACTTTGTTGTGCACACAAAAACTTTGGCGGCTTAGGTCCAAGAAATGAACACAGACACACCTACACAGACACACACACAGAGAGAAAATAATTAAGGTCCTTCAAGCTTATTGACTTTTTCTCGGGCGTTGCTGAAAAGTTTTGTGTGTTCAAAAATTCAGTGCGCAGGGCAGATAATAATTAGGCGCAAAAGGAAAGGACAAAGGCCAGGAAGTGACCAGCAAAAAAAAAAGGGACGCTCAATAAATAAATATGCCTGGCAGCAAGGCTGGCGAGTCCTTTAGGGCCCGCAACATTTGGACAGAAGCGAGTGCAGGTGCACTTAGCAGGCGATTGCGGGATAATTTAATTAGGTGCCGCCAGCAGGCACAAGGATAACAGGATAATGATAACAAAATAAGCAATTCAGCCAACCAGCTAGCCAGTCCTAGTTCCAGCCCCAGCTCTCTGGACTGCGGCGATAAACAGGCGCCATAGCACCGTGATAAAATGTGCGGTAAATTAAATGAGAAATGGCGTCGAGGCTGCCTAGGCCATTATAAAGCGTGTAACTGACCGATAACAGCGATATCGGCAGGCTTATATAAATTGCAGCAGCCCAACTTAATTGAGTTGCCCCTCCAGCCAACGAAAACTCATCCCATTCACCATTAGCTCTGTGTGTGAAATGGCGAACGTAAGTGCAAAAGTTGTCGCCGGATGTGGAGAGCACAGGTAACAGCTGGCCCCACTGGCGATACCTAAAGCTGCTCGAATTGAACATAATTAGCTCGCAAATTATTCAAGCAGCAATTAAATCGACCCAAAAAGGATAATGGATAATGGATAATTCAAGTTTTCGGCTACTAATTAATCGCAGCTGCCAACGAAATTGAAAATTCAACAAATTGTCAATATAAATTTAATTATGAACTTAAATCGATATAAGCCAGCCCATAAAAATAAAATTTATTGTTCCTAACAGGAGATACCCTGTATAAAAAAGTATAGTATTATATATAGGATAGTAAGTAGAAGTATTTTAATGTTGAACAACTCTTATCAGTAGATACCCTGTATATCATAGTATAATAAGGCTTAGGGTCTATTCTATACAACTCCATTTACTACAAGCTACCCCTTATTCACGGTCGTTCAGCTACAGGGCATACAAATTGTGGCTGTTATAGTTAAAGACTTTCGATTCCCTTCGGCTTCCATCACTCCCCGTACAACCTGAGTTGCAGTCAATGGGCGACTGGGAACTGGGAACTTGCAACTTGGCTGCAACGCTGCGTTGTGGGTAAGCATGCATGTCAAGCACATAGCCACACTGCAAAGTTTGTTGTCCCAGTTGCAGCTGCACTTGTAAGTTGCATTGCTAGCCGTCAGCTGCACGTGTGTGCGTGGGTGTGTGGGTGTGTGTTGGGGTGGTTGTATGTCGCCCCAAGCAGCGCCTTGGTGGCCTCGTTTCATTTTCTTATGCAATAATTAAGTGAGTGCCAAGCAGAGTCAAGCGTGAAGCGCAACGCGTTCTCATTTGCTATCAAATTCATGCGTAACGTAATTGTGAAGGGACGAACCAGCCTGCAATTGTGTGCGTGTGTGTGTGTGTGTGTGAAAATTATTTTGGCCAACGCCTGTGTAAACTATGCACGCATGAGAAATCAAAAGCAGCTGCCCTAAAGTGCCACAAGTGGCTGGCAAAATGGCGTAAGAAAATGTAAAGAGAAAAAAATTACGACAAATGTGCAACACTAGCAAAGGCTTGCAACACAGTTACTTAATCGAAGCTGCGGGCCGACAACTCTGAAGACTTCATGAAATGAATGGCGAGCTGCATATGGGCAGGTCTCTTTGTAAGTTGTATGTAGCAGACAGAGAGATTGACCGAGGGACTTCGAATCTTAAGAGCTGAATGTGGGGACCACGACTTTTCTTTCTATATTCCTGAAGCTTTGCTGTGACATCTCTGCCCATAGAGACTTGTTTTCGCTTGGGTAATACTGAAATCTCCAAGTGAATAACTCTGTTTCGAATTTCTTAATAAAAACCCACAAACTGTGACAATTTCTATGACAGCTTCTGTTATGTCTATTAAATTATTTTCCATTCCCACGCACAATCAAATTTCCAAACAAGCTACAAGTTCTTTAAGTAAACAAACTTCATCTCCAGGCGTAAGTCAATAAAATGTATATACAATAACAGTCAGCGTCCATGTATCCATGTGAATAGCTTTAAGTTGGAGCATTGCTAACTATATTCTTAAATACACATACGAGCTCGGATGGCTCGTGGCACTCGTAGTTTTCATAACAAGGACACGTAAACAGCCACAACACGCATTCACTTAGATGGCCATCAAAATGCGAGCACTTGAAATCAAATGTAAACATCTATACTTGTGTGTGTGTGTGTGGGTGGGTAAATTCTTGCTCGACTGACATTCGCCGTTGCCAAGTGTTAGCGTGCGCGTACGTGTGTGTGTGCTTGTGTGTGTAGTTTTTGCTGCTGCGACACGTAGTTCCGCTCATAAGCCAAAGGCGAGAGCTTGGCAGGGGCGCAAAAATATTTTTAACATTGTAACGAGATAATATTTTACCATCATACGATATTCGTGCAAGTCGCTGTTCTTGCGCCTCTGTTAAATGATATTACCTGTAGCAACATCAACCTGACAGGCAGTCAGTCAGGAAGGCAGCCAGGCAGCGACGACGATGACGACAACGACGTGCCCAACTAACGGAAACCGGATGTGCTGGCTTGGCAGTTGTGAAGTGATGTTTAGGCCAGGCCAACGACTGCGAGGACTGCGCTAGCTCGTTCAACGTGCAAAACTTGCCCATAGGCATCATCGAGTGCCACTTTTTATGGCTGGCCGTCTGTGCAAGTGCGCCTAGTCGTAGTTGTTATGGCCCACAGGCGGCTGCCACGAAGCCACGCATTTTCTATCTTCCTATACGGACCTGGACGCACTCGACGCCCTTGGGGGCAACAGCTGCCTATAACTTGTGGCAGCATAAATCGCTGCTCAACCAGCCCACCAGCCCCCAATCGCCTTAACTTATAACT